TCTTCCAACTGTGACCCCTAAGCCTCATACAGTGAACAGGAATAATAATGATAAAATGCTGTCACTCAGGGAGAAATCCAAGTGAGAAAAAAAGGCTTGTCAAGAATTTATAGAATTCCAGTTTCTTATCAGTCAGCCTAAGTTAAGGTATAGATAACCAAAATAATTTGCTTAGATTTTTGGATTCAGTACATATAAACATAATGTAAGAATAAGCAGAGTAAGTAAATAAGCAGAAGACATTTGACAAAAAAAGTATTAACATATGCATATTTACATATTTAGATTGGAGATTTTTTCATCTCCAAGATGAGATGATTTGATGTTTTTTAATTCTGTCTTCTATTTCCAGTCTTAGAGGTAGAGAGGATTTCCTGGGAAGTTCTGCAGAGTCCTGGCTATCTGTGTCCATCACTGTCGCCATCTCTCAGCCACTCTCCTGTCTGATGCTTGTCCTTCAAGAGCAGGTTCTCCTCAGAACCCCAAAGGAATTAATCTGTACTTCCACTCAATCAACTGAGATTTTTCACTTGTTTTCAATGATGCTGGGAAGTGACAACAATCACTGTAAGTGATCTGCCAGATTAACTTCCAGGTGTAGTAACATTGCTGAGGTGTTCCTGATGTTTGCATTAATTCCCTTTTTTCCCCCTTAACATAAGGACCTGCCTCTGGTATCTTTGATCCGCATGACCTCCTGATCAAATTTACATTTGTAAAAATCAGGTTTAGGCTTAACTCTGCTTTTGTTTAGACGGTAAGTTGAAGCTGAGGAATTTATTTTGAATTTGTAGAATGATTATTATTATTTAGAATTATTGTTAGACTTATTAATTATTATTTAGAATTTGTAGGCATGGATTGGAATTGTTGTTTTGAAGATTAGCTTCTATTTTAGAATAAGAATGTAAAAATGCAATGTATGTTACATCAGTTCAGGCAGCTTTTAAAATAACTTAGTTCTTCATGGAGTTGAAAAAACCTCTAGACATCTGTTTCCTTGGTAGGTAAATATTAATGTAATTCTGAAAATTCCACTGAACATCTATGCATCTTTTACATAACCTGCTCCTCTCTGACCTCAGAGATAATTTCCTCTAGGAACCTTTATCATAAATACCAAGAAATGAACTCCAGATAGTATAATAACTTTCAGAGAGGTCAAACTGAATTCCCGATGCACTCAAACAGGTAGTGGAATCAGTCAGTCTGGGTTTAGCTATTAATGTGCACAGTTAAACAGTACCTATTGTGGACCTATCATTTAATTGTCTATGAGAAATATTCCCCATCTCAACTCTCTTTTGACCGGGTGTCTTTGTATATTTAATAGACCTCAACATCAGGCAAAAAGGCATCTGGAAAAGGAATGTGCAGGCTTTACATCATCTCAACCCCAGTTAGAAGTCACAGATGCTGTAGCTTAGTTCATATTCAAATACTAATTTTTACCACACATTAGACACTGAAGGAAATGCAGCGCAGAGAAAATAACCCTCTGAAAAAAGGGAGAGTGGATTTAAAATCACCATCAATGAGCCACAGTATCACTAAGGACCAAGGCCTGCTAGGTGCATCAGGAGGGATTTGAGTTTGGTGCTTTTAGCAATCCTCCACAATTTAATGCCGAGTGCCAAGTTAATAAGAATGGCAAATTTGCCTTTCAGCCATCTTGCTAGAACCACACACCTTGCCAGGTACTGGCATTATTTTGTGCTGGTGTTAATTCAGGTGTTTCAGACATGGGCCAGGGAAGGTGACAGGTACTACCTGGCTGTATCACATGGTAAGCAGGGTAACCTTTCACTCTTAGCAGACGTATTACAGAGTTTGGGGATTTCAACCCTTTTTGATGCAGGATGCAGGAAGCTGTTCTATGGATGAAAAAAACCCCATAGTTTAAGCATTTCTACAGAAGCCACTGAACCTCAAAGATTTACAAAATTTTTGAGGCTGGGACAGAGAAGAAAATATTTACATCCTTTCATTTAGAAAATGGATTTTACTTTGTGTCATTTCAATGCCTTTTACAGTTCACACTTTCAACAAAATTTCATGCAAGGAAAAGACAAACAAAGTACTACTGTGCTACCACTGTAATCCCAAATGAACTAACTAGCTGCAGCCAAGGGAACAAGAAAAAGAAAACACATTTTTTATGTCAACATATAAACAGACGCCTTGTTGGAAGCAGTAATTGTTGGAAAACACTTTTGTGAAATACAGGAAACCTCGAAATTTGCTACTGATTAACTCAAAGTTCAGGGAAAGAAATTCAAGCTCAAAAGCAGTGAAGCACTTGAGGAAGGTGAGAACTCCTGCTGGCTTTTGCAGCTAAACTGAGGTAGGGCTGTGCTTTGTTTTAGTTAAGCTGGAAGATGCAGCCTTTCCTTAGTCCATGTCCTAGTTTATGCAGCTCCACCAGAAATACTGGCCAGTGTGCCTATCTTCACTGCAAATGAAAGACTGTCCAGAGGAAGTCAGCCTTGCCTTTCAGCTCTGGGTTGAATTTGTAAGGGTCTTTCCCCGCTGGGCTCTGTCGAGGTCAGCTGCAAAGGCTGTCCTAGCAGCCAGCTGCGAGTGCAGGCTGCAGAGGGAGCACTGCTGCTGTCTAAGGGGATGTGGCACAGGGGCAAGGGTTGCTTACTGGGGAATGTTTGCTTCCAGTGGCAGGAAGGAGAGCTGGATAAACAGGTATGAAATCAGAAAAGAAAAGCCTCCAGGAAGTGCATTAAATATTTAAGAAGGATGTTACCGTTAATAGCGTTAAATGCATACTAAGGTTAAGAAGGCTGAGAAGCCAAGCTTTGTCTAAGATTCTTATGTTGTGCTTCTCACCTGTGCAGAGTCAGGGAGCACTGGCAGTTCTAGAAAGAGGCAGAAAACCCCAGAGTTTGCATTGGCAAAGAGAGGAGATACTTATTTTTTGATTCATGGCATTACTTCGGAGTTGTGCTGACTTCAGCTGTTACAGTAACAGCACTCATCACTAAGTGAAGACTCTTGGGGAATGTGGGCAGGCTGTGACGTTCATCTCCCAGAAGGGGAAGCAAGTAGCAGTTGCACAAATATCCCCTCTGAAATGCCAAGGGCACAGGAAACCTTTACAAAACATCAAAAACTTTTCTGTGACAGAGCCCTACAACTATCAAATGACAGAAAAGCTCACAGGAATTGCCTGAATGAAGATTTAGCAAGTTGTCTACAGCATTTTAGCATGATCTGTTTTGAATTTCATTTCATATGGTTTTTTTCCTAAGAGAAAATGTCACTGAAGAGGCAGAAGGCTGTCTCCAGCTCTCACCATCATTTGCAGTAGTCATTGCTCATTTACATGAACAGGAAAGAGCAAGAAAGAGTGAGAAAGTGACAAACAGCTGATGTCCCCTTTATGCAGCAGAAGTCTCCCAGTGCTGCCCATTTTAAGGCCTGCAGGGAAAGCAAAGCCTAGGAACCAAATTCTCTCATGAATAATATTGCTACTACCCATTTTATTTTTCTCCTTCAAAGTATCAAAATAAACTTACAAATTGTCATCCAAAATTTAGCTACCCCTCCAAGTGCCCTCAGGCTAATGGGAACAAAGTTCTGTAGCAGTTTTGCTAGGTGGACTGCAATTGATGAGAGCCTAAAGATAACAGGGCTGCAGCCTACCTCAATTCAGTGATTCCAAATTCCTTCTTAGGAGACAGACCTGGAAAACCACTACTCCCACAGGTGTTCATGCCCCCACACAGATGTTTCAAACTTCAGGTGTGAAAAGGGTACAATTTCCTCTGCTGAAGTGTGCTTCTATGTCTCCAATCAGATGGTTCTTCCTTTGCCAAAGACAGTCAGTCTCTGGCAAGTCTCAAAGACAAGTCATGTCTGACTTTGGGGCATGGACATGCCGGCTGTCTTTTAGGAATTTAACTCTGCTGAAAATGAGACACCTGGAGGCTTTGGTTTCTTTACACTTTCTTTACACATTAATTAAGCAGCAGGATTGTCAGTCCATTCCCACAGAAACGACTCTTAAAGCCTTTTCCAACCCATTTCACTCCAGCTGCTCTTCCAAGAAGCTGGTTCTTGGCTTGTCAGCTGTTTCCGCACTTACCTCCACACTGGCACAGGTTCAGAGGTGTAAATCGCCATTGTCCATGCAAGAGTCCCACTCCCAGTGTGATCCCAGCTTCCTGGAACAAGTTACAGCAAACACCAAGGCAGCTACCCTGGATTCATGGACATGTTACCATGGCACTTTCTGAGCTGCCATTCTCCCTACCCCAAACATGAGTTTATTGTTTCTCCTGAAATATCAGAAGTGGGTAAATGTTTTGGGATAACACTACAGACCAAGAAGAGGGTTGTTCTGCTTTGATAGAACTTCATCCTCTTCCACAGGTGAAAAATGCTGGCTAACAGTATCTTCCACTCTTCATTTCAAGCTGAGTACTTGGCACTTTCATTCTGGTAGATCGAGAGTAGCTTTTCTGCAGTGAGAAAAAGCAGCTCAATGGGAGGACAAACAAGATTTTACATGCAGCCTGATGGAGAACTGGCTGACATCCAGCACTGAATGACAGCATGTTAGAAGCTGCCCTTCGTGAAACTCTCGTCTGTTCTCCCTGCCCTTCTCTAGCCTAACACCAAGAGCCATGGGACCTCCTGACCAGGGATTGCTGCCCTGTGGCTCTGAAGTCAGACTGAATGCACACTGCCACCAAACCAAGGTGGGGGAAAACAGGCAAGTGGCTACGGTGATGGTCACCGATTGCAGGATTATATATCCATGGCATCGTTGGGATCGTCAGTTTTGCGCTGAAACCAGCACAGAGCACGAACTGAATTGCTTGTCCCGCCTTCAGCCGCAGGCGAGTCTCACCTCGGGAGTGTGGAGCAAAGACCGCCACAGAGAGCGGCACGGGTCCCGGCCGAACCGGGCCATGCAGCGCTGCGGGCCGCCGCCGCCAGGGGCCGCCGCCGGGGCCGCTCCGGTGCTCGCCGCGCTCGGAGGCGCCGGCGCTGCGGCGGGACCGCCCTGCGCTCGCCTCGCCGCGGGAGCTCCCTCCTGGGACCGCTCGGAGCGCGGGCAGGGGGGATGCTCGGCCGGGCGGCGCGGACACAGCTCCGCCGCCGGGGCCAGCGTTTCCCCCGGGGCAGCGGCGGCCGCGGCCGCCCACACCTGGCGGCGGCCCTGGGACCCGGATCGGGCCGGAGCGGAGGTACGCACCGCCCCGGGCGCGGGAGGGGAGTGGCGGGGGCCCCCC